TTTAGAAGAGCAATGATTTTTTAAGTTTTCCCCTAGTCTCATTAGAGTCTAGTAAAGTTATTCATGTGCCTTTCAAGTTTGTTTCTTAGGTCCATAATATAGTAACACAGTTTACTGGTATTTATAGTGAAGTGACCCCTACATATTAATGTTGTTCATTTTATGTCTTTCTCATTTTATTTTCTATTTATTAAATTACAGATATCGATGAGTGCAAGGTTATTCATGATGTTTGCCGAAATGGAGAATGTGTCAATGACAGAGGATCCTATCACTGCATCTGTAAAACGGGCTACACTCCAGATATAACTGGAACTGCCTGTGTAGGTAAGTGCTCTGTTTTCTGAGCTCAGGTTTATTCCTGAGGGACAATTGTACATTACAGCAAAAAAAAAAATCCTCAAATTAAAAGTCTAAAAAGCCTGTATAATTTCATAGGGGAATGTAAGGCAATGATCAAAGACTACATAGAGTTTACTTTTTCTTTCCTCAAAACTGAGATTCTTTGTTAGACCCCATGGGATTGAGCATTTAGGCATTTTTTTTTAAATGGGCAGTCACACTGTATCTCTTTGATCACAGATCTGAACGAGTGCAACCAGGCCCCCAAGCCCTGCAATTTTATCTGCAAAAACACAGAAGGGAGCTACCAGTGTTCATGCCCCAAAGGCTACATTCTGCAGGAGGATGGAAGGAGCTGCAAAGGTAAGGTAGAATTTACCTTCGTCCACTCATCTGCCTTGTGGGCATATCGTTGTATTCCTTGTGCCTTTGAGGGATCCACAGGCCAAAAGTGCCTCCCTGCCACCCACCTCCTGTGCTGGATGGAGAGAGGCTGAGGCCAGGGAGATGGCAGAAGACCAGTGGCAGCAGCCATCCTGACCCCTGGGCATCCATGAGGACTGTGCATGAGGGTCTCTGCGACAGCAGGGCCAACTCTCCAAGGCCCAGGTGCATCAAATCCCTAAGTGACTATCTCCTTTCTATTTATGGCATTAATGTATTCAGTCTATTCAATGACTATAGAGCAGAGGTCTTTAGATTAATCAGTGCCATCATCCTGGAGAACACTGTGCCTAATTAAGTAAACCCTTTGTCTAGGTATCTGTCCCACAAAATAGGTCCAGTCCTGTCCCTCAGCAGCTTGAGACATAAATATCACAAAAAGTTAAACACCAAAACTCTACATGAATATTCCTCACCAACCAGAAGTCATCCTTTGCAAAATTATATTGGTGTAAATTTACTCCTGTAAAATCTTCCCCAGCAATAAGAACTTTACGCATTGAGTGACTAGTACAAGGGAGTCATACTGAAGGATAAATTGAAAAATGAGGGATTTGGAGGAGTGTGTTCTGCCAGGAAGGAGAAAAAGGGCAGTAAGGAAGTTAAATGGTAGGACGGAGAGGAAGAGGAGGGCGGAGAGAAGCAGGGTCCTCCACCCTATTCCTGTGTCTGCTGTACGGGGGAGAGTTGAGAGGTAACACAGTATAACACATGGACGATGCTGAAAATTTTCCTGTGCAGCACAAGTTCAGAGACTTACTCAAAAAATTCTATCTTAAATGAGTTTTAGTCTTAATCAGAGAACTTACTCTACATCACAGTGAGCTCTGGGCAGTGAAAGGCTACATCTCAGAGCCACAAACTTACTTGCGTAAATGAAGACCCAAATGCTAGGGGGAGATATCTCAGTTGTGTATATTATCTATAACAAGCAAAACAAATCTATAGCATTTTTCTAACGTGGGGATAGAAAATCCTAAAAATGTCTAGCAATTCAGAGATGAAAAATGAGAACAAAATGTACAGTAGTAATTATGTTCTCTCACAATGTATCAAAAAGCATCTCTAATGCTCTTTTTATGGTTTTAGGAATACAAAACGCAGCTGTATGATTTTTGCAGATCTACTTCCAATATAAGTCCCTTTCTCTTATTTTTCTCGTAAGGTCTAAATTCTCCTTCCTACCTGGCACATGTGACTAAGTACCAAAATGAGTGGTGTAGATATATATACTATTGAAACTAAAAGAGGCTAGAAGGATGGTCCT